ATATACATAGAAACAGAGACTCTAATTCAACCTGGAGGGCCAGGAACACTGGGCTGGGTGTTAAAGGGAGATGGTTTAACTAAGATGAGGGACAGGCAGAGAAATAATTCAGGCTGCAAGAACAGCAAGAGCAAAGGCATGGAGAAGTGATACTGGTATACAGCAGAAGATACTAGGAGGTGAGGACCACTAGGGTTTAAGCTGTGAGGCACACCACGCATGATATCAGCTGTTGGTGGGCTGCCGAGCACCTGGAACTCTCATATGCCACCGGAGGAAACACAAAATGGTACCACCCCTTTGGGAAACAGTTTGGTAGTTTCTTTAAAAGTAAGAAACTATTCTTAACATATACTTATCATATAATCTGGCCCTGCCATTTTTAGGTATTTACCCATGAGGAATGAAAGCATATGTCAAACAAAGACTTGTACGTGAACGTTCATGGCAGATTTTTTGTAATAGCCCCAAACTGGAAACAATCCAATTTTCATCAACAGGTGAGTAGATAAACAAATTGTGGTATAATCATACAATTAAATACTACTCAGCAAGAAAAAAAGAATGAATTATTGACACATGCTCATGACATGAACTGCAAAGTAATTATGCTGAATGAAGTCAGATCAAAACAAATAACGAAATAAACAGTACATACTAAATGATTCATTTATGTGAAACTCTTGAAAATATAAACTATAGTGACAGAAAGCAGATGAGTGGATTCTAGGGAGGGCAGAAGAAATTACAAATGGGCATAAGAAAATGTTTTGGGATGACAGATACCATCTTGATTGTGGAAATTATTTCAGGGAGAGGCACACAGGCCACAATGTGCCAACTTGTACATTTTAAATACATGAAAACCTTGTGAATACACTAAAAATTATTGAATTGTATGCTTTAAATGGATGAATTGTATAGTATGGGAATTATACTTCAATAAAGCTGTTAAATATGTACAGTTTATTATATTTCAATCACTTCTCAAAAAGTCGTTCAAAGTTTTTCTGAAATGTGAGGAACAGACGTCTGGGGTGGACCCAGCAATGAGGCACCATGTTGTCGAATGGCCCTTTGGCCTACTTGGAGATTCCGGGCAGAGGCATGGCCAGAGATGATCTGCGAGTCTGATAGAGCCCTCTGATGCCAAGGGTAGAGTGGGGATGAGGACATCTGGACTGGAAGGAAGAACATCGGATAAGAGACTATTGCAAAACTGGGGTGAGAGATAATGGCATAATGTAGGTCAGCAGAAGTGGAGTAAAAGAGAAATTTGAAAAATGTTTTCCTTTTTTCTCTTTTGTAAGATGAAAGAATGTTGAACAAGTGTAGGGTGAATGACAAAGAGGGAGAAATTATATCAATAAGAGAAAAAAGAAATGGATGGAATATGGACCCAGAGATGATCAGGAACATGGAAATGCTTTTGAAGGTGAGAAGAGCTGAGCCACCGATCCTTAACACGTGGATGGTCTTGTGGGAGGCACTGTCGGTGGGCTCAGTGACCGCAGGCACTGTCGGCATTTGGAGGGGAGATGGCCAGGGATATAACATGCCTTCCAACACATAGGACAGTGCCATTCTCTGACAACTGCTTTTTGTGTCTAATGGAACTCTAGAGTGTTCCACCAGATATTTATGTAAGTGAAAAACCCATTTGTAATCCTCTGAATTAAGAGCCTAACTCTGTTTTTACAAGTAAACACCAAATACTTTCTTGCAAGGTGTGAATATACACTGAAGTTTCCAAGACTATAACGACTGTGTAGAGAGAGGGAAGCTTGAAGTTTAGTTTATTTGGAACTATATCAGGATTGTTCACCATTGGAAGAAATCGGGTCAGCAGTGGAAATGCTGCCTACTGAATTTGAGATTCCAGCACTGCACATCTGTGTGCCAGCCACAGTTGTTGGCACATTCATGGGGATACTGCTTTATAAACAGTAGAGTCAAGGATCCTGATGCCCTAAAAAATAGCCTAGTGTAGATATGTCCTAGCACTTACCTATTTTAAAGTTATTTTTATTATAAGTCATGTTATTTTTAAAAAGTTATATCTGTAAGTAGGCCAAAGTATCTGTGAATTTTATTTCAAAAAAATAAAAGGAATATTATAACTTATTGAGAATATAAAAGGAAGTGTTATTATGCTAAGTTTAGGAAGCCAGACACAAAAGACCACACGTTGTATGATCCCATTTATGTATAATAAAATATCCAGAATATGCAACTCCATAGAGATGGGAAATAGTTTAGTGGTTGCCTAGGGCTTAGAGGCCAGAAGTCTGAGATCGATGGATAAGCAGGGCCACACCTGTGCTGGAGGCTCTAGGGCAGAGTCCTTTCTTTGCCTCTTCCGGTTTCTGGTAGCTGTCAGTTCTCTTTGATTCGGGGCCATATCACCCCAATCTCTGCCTCTGTGATCACACAGCTTCCTCCTCTTCTCTCTGTCTCCTCCTCTTCTATCTCAACTCTCCCTCTGCCTTTCTCTTACAAGAACACTTGTCATTGGATTGGCCCACCCAGATAATCTAGAATGATCTTCTTGTCTCAAGATCCTTAACTTAATTACATCTGCATTACCTTTTTCCAGAAAAGGTAATGTTCACAGGTTCTGAGGAT